GGGGAGACAATTTCGGATCGAAAAAGCGTGTTTCAGGCAAGTCTTATCGGATCTCCTGTTACTCTCCAGTTAGTGCAAGTTGGCCTAGTCAATATACTCAGTATTGTACTCCGAGACTGCTATCTCAAAGGGACAACAGAGCATTTGGACTCCAGAACTCGATTGCTAGTTCTCTTGTGTAGGGTGGCCTTTGAAACATGAGGTCAGCTTTTTTACTTAGTTGTAGAATACGTGCCTTGCAACCATTTGACCAGATTTCAAGGTTTTCTGTAAATACACCTGCAGCATGCAATGCGATTCATTATCATAAACTCCTTTGCCACCTGACTTCTCAGATACTAAAGCTTTGTTCACCAAATTTCTTTTCATGAGCTTCTCTTGTATTTTATTCGATCACGATATCCTAGTTTTTTGCTGGTATGAATCACCTAAAAAGCGCAATGGGGAGCTTAGTAGCAATGTGGTAAAAATGCTTTGCAACTCACCGTATTTATATAAGTATTTTAGTTCTGACGGAAATTCTTATTGGTTTATTGTAAATACATCCACTTCTTCACCTTTTTAACTTCTCATGCTGACTTGAATGGCATGCGTCGGTTTATTGATTGCATAAAGAATTCGTGAGTGCATCTATTATCTTTCAGGCTTTCTCCAATGAACTTTAACATTCAATCAGTTATTCCCCGGTAATAATAAACAAATTATTTTCTGTTTGGAAGCACTTTTAATCTAAATTTGTTCCATAAAAGTAACTAATCGATAATAATATAACCTCTTAAAAACGTTATAAAAATTCCTAGTGCTTATGCACGTTATCAGTGGTTACAATGTGCATATATCGTCAGCATGGTGTCTGATATTGCACTACAGTTAGTTGAGGTCTCTCAATGCTCATTATGTGCTGTCCTAGCTATGCGACCTGAATTCGTATTACTGCTGCAATTCTCATATCTCAAGGCAACATGAGTTGCCTCGGTAAACGTCTATTGAAAGACATTCGATGCCTATAATCTCGAATTCGAATTTTGTAATTTTTTAGTAGCTTTTTCAAAATAACTACATCCGCGGAGAAAGTTGTCAGAACTCTAACAAGAGGAAAATGGATGTTTTACGTTCGTTAATGCAGCTACATTTGATTTTCTCAAGGATAACTGTGTGGACAACTGTAGGCACATTGTTGTGTGGTGAATTCGCTTGCGGATGTCTCAGCCTTCATCAGTACCATTTTGGAGGATCGAAAAGTAGCTGCAGCCTCACACAATATCACTGCATGGTATCTGCAGGCTAAACTGAAGCCTGACGCCCCAAAGACCTCACTCGTTGCTGATTATGATGACGATGGTGAGGCCCAGGCTGGCGGACGGCTGCTCCATCTGATAAGCCTGTCAGCGAGGGAGGGCGTTGCTGTAATGGTAATCTCTTATTCCCTTTCTGCTGCCTATATGATTTCCAACCTGAGTATGCGACGCCTTCAGCATCAGTGTTTTAGTGCACTTTACCGTGTCCTTCCGTGGATGCCCATGTAGGTCATTTTCATATCCCGCTTTGAGACCTGAAGCCAATAGCTCAATTAGGTCGTGACGACCGAATTCATCAGGGCCATATTTCTTTACGCTGGGATTTTTCAACACAACTCAAGAATCCGCTTCCCGTCTTCCCCTTTTTTGCGTATCTTATGAAGATGGGATTCGTGTTGTAGTTGGTTGATAGGTAATGATTTTATTACTACTGACACACAGTGCTTTTGCTTTACTACTAGGTTTCCAGATGGTATGGAGGGATACATATTGGACCCGACCGATTTAAGCACATCAATAATGCCGCAAATCAACTGCTCATGCAACAAGGCCTCACTAAAAATGCCGCGGACTCTGGCACCGCTCAATCAAAGTCTAAAAAGCACGTCAAAAAGAAACAATGACAGTCATACTTTACATGATTTCCCCATCTTGCAAAAAAAATTTTTTTAAATCTGATGGATAGGTCATGTCTGTGTATTTAGGTAAGTACCCCACCTCGCAAATAAGTACTCGGGTGGTCCTTGTCTCGCTGCTTACAGCAGCAGTACCATCTGTCTGACAGCATTGAGTCCTTATATCTCTTTATAATCCAACTGAATGACAGTAGCGACATCCTATATAACCATTCAAGGTACTATTGTACATTTGTTCTCATGGTTTCATCTTGTATTGCCTCGTTAAAATGGCGTATGTATATGAGAAGAAAGAACCAGGGCAGGCTGGAAGGTATGGAAAGTGAAAACGCGATCAACAAAGGGAAAATGGAGAGGAAAAAACGCTGGTGGAGATGTACGCTGACACAAAATCGACCTCGACAACTGCCAGTCAAATGAGCGGCTTCCATGTGAGGTCACTAAAACTCGTGGTAGTTGTGGAGGGGTGGTTTCAGAGAGAAAGAAGTGGAGTGATCGCATCAGGATGAGGTTTTGATCCTCCGTCTCAGAGGAGGACGACGGCCCCAGCGGCAGCGATCTTCCGAAATGCCCTCGTGCGAAAGAGAGTGGTACGAAGACAACAAACAGAACTGATCAGTGAAAGTGGAGAGGGAGCGACGGAGGAATGGCCGAGTAGCGAAAGGAGCAGGAGTGTACGCGTGTCAGCGAGGAGAATGCTCAGAACAAATCGACTCGGCGTTTGAGGTCATTACGCTTCCATTCAGGCAATCGATAGAATGCCACTCGCGAAAGCTGGAATACTTTCTCGAACTCTGAGTCCGAAAGATACATCTAGAACAGGGCCGTTGTCAATTAGGATCGAAAATGGGACCTGAGTAATTGCTTGTGGTGCTATCAACTCGAGGTGTTATGACCTGCTATAGCTGCAACTGCATTAGTTGTCTAGAGGTTTCCTCCATATATGGACGATCACGGCGACATGAAGTTTTGTTGGTATTACGTTGATGCTACTACCTCTCCAGCCCTTCCATACAGCTACCTTCCGGTACATGTAACTCATAACATTCATAGAGGTAGTTTGAGCACTGCGATCAGTATTCCGGCGATAGGGTGAACAGGCTAATTGACCTATCAAGGGTGCTGTTACAATTTTAAGATAATGTCTCTTGGGTGTTCAAAAAGGTTAGACTGCTTCTTTGAGTTATCCAGGTCACTGAGGGAATGCTCAGCTCTTTTTGAACGAGAAGCATGGGTTTGTTCTTTTTCTATTTTTCAACTATTGAGAGTTCATGCTTCGTATGCTTGAGTGAAAACTTGCCTCAAGTCTAGTACGATCGATGCCTTTTGGAGGTCGACCTAAACTTGCTACGAGGTCCTTGTACGGAATCTCCTGAAACACATAATGTTTGTTAGAATAAAGCACGCGGTGGTCGCTTTACTCAGCGACAAACTAGTCCGTTCTCCTTTGGAGCTGTGAGTCAAACATCATTCAGTTTTCGCTCACCTTCGCGGAGCTTCCCTCGAGTTTTACTGACATCGTGTATGGAGTAGAGCAAACCACACTGGGGTAGCTGGGAGTAGAGCCCAGTAAGCTTGTGTCGAAATCCTGACTGAGATTTGAAGCCTCATCGTTTACCCGATGTCCATTTCTACGAATTGGCGACGTCTGAGATTGAACCGGGGCGTCTGTGTCAGTTAAGCAGAAAAAAAATCTCACATGAGTAGGCGCTACGTAGTGTGGTAGGTTTGTCGGGAGAGGAGTTACCTTCGCTAACCTTCCCATTTGTGTGACCATTGGCTTGCGAGGTATCGAGACGAGGAGAGGAGAAGCAGTGGGAGCCGCCGATGCTAGAGGTCTTTGTTGAGGATAGCGAAAGCTGGCCGGCGGTGTAGCCTGGTCTGAGGCTCGTGGAGTTGCCTAAATGTAAAGATAAAAGCAGAAAAGTGGGCATTCAACAGTCAGTATTGCAAAAAGACAGTAGGGTGCGCCAGACGAGGCCACTCGGGTAGTGAATAGCACGCACACAGGAATTCACAATAGATTGGTTACTACTGGTTAGTGAGTAGCTGTCTGGAATTCATGCACGATGTAGGCGTTTTGAGTGAGCACTTCTCGAGCCATTCCATAGAACGCAGCGATCTCAAAGCCACTTACACCTTATAGCACGGAGAAAGCTCTCTTGTGAATCTGCAAAGTAGGGAAGGGTGCTGCTTGAGATTAACGTTAATTGAGTTCATAATGCCGCATTAGTGAAGGGAAAGGTAAGATTGGTGACAACATATGCATACATAGGAAGAGTTAACGTAGTCTTCTTTTGCTCCTCAGATCCTCATGCTGTGAGCAGAAACATCAAATCAGTGTAACTAGTCAGAAGTCCAAACCACAGTTCAAATGCTAATAGCCAGTGGATAGTAGCAGATCATACCTGGTGTGAAACAAGGGGGCGAGAGGAAGTGTGCAGAAGGGATGGAGATGGGGAGAGTGAAATGGGAAGGGTAGACATGCATGGTGGAAATTGTCTTACGCGATGATGTTCCATCGTGACGGCAGCGGTGGCGATCACTGGCAGTCCATACACGATTGCCTAGATTGACCAGATCGAGGGAGTGGTCCAGACGGTGCGGACTCACCGAACTCCGTTGGCTTTCTCGCGAGGGTGCTGTTACCGCACATGCATACATACGGAGGGGCTTATTCACCTTTTTATGGATGTAATCACGCAGACCTCTATCCTACAAGGCTATTCTAATCTTCACTGACTATGCATGTCATCTGTGTGTTCAGCCACAAGGTCTAAGCTACCCACGACTACTATGAAGCTAGTCTATAACCAAGCAGTTTTGTTCAGCTGAGCAGCCCTCCATCGATACCGTATCAAAATTGAACCCATTTAATATCTGAATGGAATGCGGAAGAGCCGAATCTAAAAATTATGGCCTTCCTAGTGTGCTATAGCGCTTTTTCGTCCCTCTAGTCCGCGGAATGTATAAGAGTGCCTTCCTCACGATTCAACAATGATATGATGACCAAATGCCAAAGGCGCACGCAAAATTCACCATAACCATCGAAAATACAGAATATACTTAAAGTGCGGTACTAACCCATTTAACAATTTAGGTCAACTACGGATTCGGTACTTAGACACTTTTGGCCATGAAAGCCTACCCACAGAATCCTACTCATGAAAAAAGTGGAATGATAGCAGTAGTTAGACTAAAAAATGGACAAAAAAGGGGTTCCACTTAAGTACTTCCTCCCTCCCTCCCTCCCTCCCTCTTCCATCCCACAACAGCCATCGCCTCCAAAACAAAGAATCAGACGCACTTGTGCAGCTGAAGCGACCTCAAATTTATAGGCAAATCGGATAGGAGAATGAATTTGGTTCTATCGCTCAAATCTCTTTCGCAAAACACCTTAAAAACGCGGGAGACAGGTGAAAGTCATCCCAAGCCTTAGGCAAGAGAGGCAGGATAAATAAAAAAGGCCAGTATTGTGATTGTGGGATGCAGCGCTCCACAAAAGAAGAAAGGAAGGGAAGCAAGGAAGAAAGAGTCTTCCGACCCTAACCATAGCTGCATACCCGAAAATTAGAACTTTTGCTTGATAAAAAATAAGTTTGACTCTAAGGGTGGAGAAAATTTCGAAACAAAACAGGTCAAGACGTTTGACTACCAAAAGTAAAAATTTAAAAGAGGCATGTATTGTTGAGCCCTTTGGA